CATAAGGCAACTCGTCTCTTATATTGCATGCTTGCAAAAATACTATATGCCTAACTATTTTGATTTTAGATTTTTCATATGATTCCGTTCACTATTTAACTGTATTTAATTAAGTAACACCTTGAAAACAATTTTTCAGTCGGATATTTTTTTTTTGTGTAATTATGAAATTATTTACTGTTTGTTACACATTGCATCGATTTTTAGCGGCTGTTTTCTTCGCCCTTGCACTAAAATTAACAAATAAATTCAATTGTTGTTGTATTTATTGCAAGTATAGCTTCTTTTGGTGAACATAAATTCAATTGCAAAATTCAGCGTATGCGTTAGTAAAAGTTTGACGGATTTTTTATGCTTGTTTTACATTAAATAAATAATTTCTCTTTTACAAATTCAACAAAAACGAAAAAAAAATAATGCTTTCGTGCTTCTTCAGTGTGCTTACTTGCGTTTGATTAACAAAAAAAAAAAAAATTACTGGCTTTTAATCACTTGCCTGCACAATGAAGCAAGGATTCAGGCTAATTTCTTGCATTACTTGCTTACTTCGGCTTCACTTGAATTCTTTTTGTGTGTTTTCTTGCATTTTGCATTAAAATGTAAATTTAAATTAACTCACAGCAGCTTGCTGTGTGTCCAGTGTGAACACACTCACAAACTTCATTCAACATCATAATTAATTCTTTAAAATAATTAATTATTAATTCATTATAATTATTGTTTTTGCATATTTACTTTTTGTTTTTCTTCTTCTTCTCTTTTTTAATCATAAACTTTTTTTTTTTGTAATTAATATACATACATCATCCGAGCGCAACAGCGGTTGCAACAGTAGTCTCTGTTTTACTTCCCTTTCTCCTTCCTTTTTTCTTATATGCGAGCAGCAAAAACTTTGGCTCAATGCAAAAGCTTCGTGCTCTTTTTTTAAGTGCGCGTAAACGAAAATCWTCAATTCTTCTTCATACTCTCTCTCCCCCTCCAACTATATTGTGGCATTGTCTCTTATATTTAACAACAACAACATTTATTCAGCAGCATTTKTTGTCGTTGTCGTAGATGTTGGTTTAGCATTGGCGTTAGCATTTTCAAAATTTTCAGCGTGTTCAGTTTCTTTTTCTGTTGTTGTTGTTGTTTGAGTTGTGGTTACCTGCGTTTCCGCCGCGCCAGCGTCCGCAGCAGCTTCGGATTTAATGCTGGACACGACGTCTTTTTCAACTTCGTCGGCTTCCATTTGTACCGGTGGGTTTTGCTCAGCCTCATTGAAGGCTGAAGTGGGTGCAGCAAACGATGCTGTTGTTATTGTTGTGGTTGGTGTCGTATCAGCAACATTTTCTTTAGCAACTGCGTCGGTGGTTGTAGTTTCCTTTACACTATCTGCTTTATTGGGCGTCACTACAGTTGGCGCCAAAGCGCCTGTAGTCGTTGGCAACTCCTCCGWATCGGTTTCGAGTTCGCTGGTTGTATCTAAACGCTCCGCAGTGGTGTCCGCCAACTCACCAGTCGATGAGTCGATAGTGCTGGCTGTGTTATTGTGCCGTTCGTTGATTGTAGCGTTGTTGGTGCTAGTGGTGGAAGTATCGGTGGCAGTGGTTGTGGCACAACTGCTGCCAGTCGTATCCATAAATGAGGTATCACCCTCAGTTGTACTTTCCACAGTTGTCGACGTTTCTTGTCTCTCACGCTTGGCGCCTGGCTCTGCCGTTTCCTCMGTCGCTGCCACCGCGTCCTCATGTTGTTCCACCACTGTACTGCTTTCGCTAGCGCTACGTCCGCGCACTGTGCTATGACGTCGCCGTTCTTGACGCTGCTTACGTTGCTGATGTTGCTGCTGCTTTCGCTGCTCCAACTCGATTTGCTGCTGTAGAAGTTGTTGCTGCTGCTGTTGTTTGCGTTCTTCTGCCGCACGTGTTGATGTACTGGCTATAACGCCGACGGCAGTGGCGCTAGCGTGCGCGCTGCTGCTGTGCGCCTTGTCGCCAATATTGCCACTGCTGWTTTTGTTGTTGTTGCTGCTGCTGCCGTCAACGACGACGACACTGCCGGTGCTAGTGCTGCCACCACAGCTAGCTGCCGCGTCGCGTCGTTGCATGCACTTTTCCAATGCCATTTTCAATGATTTTCGTTTACGTTGTTTTGCTGCTGCCTTCTGCGCACTCATGACTACTGCTGCTGCCGCTGTTGCGGCCGCATCCTATTGCGAGTGATTCGCGGTTGCCGCCGTAGCCGCAGCGACGACGGAAGCGGGCACAATGCCGCTGCTGCCTACGTTCAAGCCGATCTCCTGTTTGTGTTCGCGTGCAATGTGTCGGCGCACTGTGTTGTTGCGGGTGAAGGTGCGCGAACAGAAGGGACAATGGACGCGGATGCCTTGATGACGTTGGCGGATGTGTGCGCGTAAATTTGTTTCATAGCCATAGAGGCGATCACAATACAGGCACTTCAGCTTCTTACCTAAATTGTGTTCGGGGACAAGAAAGAGGGACAAATTAGTTGAATTGTCAGAGACGAAAAATTTAGAAAACGCGTAAAAGTATGCTATACATATTCGAAGCAAATKMAAATAGCTCGCTTTACGGCACTTAATGAGTTAGTTTCAGACTAATTAATATTTGGTTAGTTGTTTTATATAAAAAAAAAGTCTCTATATTTTTATTACCGTCCGCTGTATTGACCATGCCACTGTTTTTGTTATTCAATTTCGTCGCATTCCAAACATTCAACATATCCTCCGGCGCTATGGAGGTGGCCAAATTGCTCGGCAAACCGGCTTCGACGTTCTTTAGATTTTCTAAAAGGGCGGATGGTGTTGTGGACGACGCGTTCGGGGTAGGTGGCTGTGGCGGTGGCGGCGAATAGCTTGAGTTCTCCAATTTCACTCGCAGATCTTCGGCTCCATTCTGTGTAAAAGTAAACAAATAAACTCATTAAACCGTTATCYCAATTATAGAATTCAATCCACACTCACATCAATCGATTCGTCGTGCTCGCTTTGATCGTCATCGTTAGCCTCGTGTGTGCTGCCATTGTTTCGTTCCGTTTTCACTGTTCGTTCTAGACTGCCGGACAAATTGCTCGGCATGTTGCCATTACCAGCTGTGGCGCCCGGACTGTGATTCTCATAACGGCTGCAAATAGAGGGGTAGACAAAATCTTAAATCTCAGCTTTTTACGGATCCACAATCCTATATTACTATTTCACGCTTTGTGTGCMTTTTCATTTTCCTAACTACTTTTTCCCCACTCACTCACCTCGGTGATGTGCGCTCCGATTGCATTGTGTCCGCCTCAGTTGGTGCATTCGACGATGCACTCGACGATGGCCGATGGTAGGGCGGTTTGCTGATTGGGCTCGCACACTCTGAAGATGAATTCTTCGAGCCGTCACGTAACACACTACCTCGCACCTCGTGCTCGGCATATGGACTGCGGAGGACACGTTTGCGTGGCGGTTCAAATGACATTGGMCGATAGATGGGCGGTACATAAGGWGGTATACCGGCGGCCAGCGCTGCAGCGGTACTACTTTGCATCAGTGAATCGCACTCCTGTTTCAGATTACCACTCGAACTGCTCAGATGGTGTGCAACGCCTGCGCCGCTACCCATACCACCTGGACCGCCAGCGCTCGCACTAGCACCACCACCACAAGCAGCACCTGCACCGCTGGCTGTAGCATTACAATGTGCACCACCGCTGATAATGCTACTACCGGAACAACCGTTACCACTGGCACCGCTACCATTACCACTGTTACTAATGCGTTCCGCATTGGCAGCCATTGCAGCGGCCATATTGCCACCGATAATGGCACCGCTTGGTATACCACCACCTATACTGCTGAGCGGATTACCACCTACGGCACTGCCGAGACCGCCAGCGCCGCTTAGGCTATTGCGCATGCTGCGTCGGCCGGTGGGCGAGTCGAGTGGCGATGCATCGATGTGTTGTTGAGCTTGCTGGGCGGCCAAACGGCCAGTTTCTGTAGACAGTCCTTTCACCTGCAAACGTAGCAAATTTTATGAGTCTTGTTGCCGTTCAAAAACAAAAACAAAAAAATTGTTTGCTTACCTGCAGATTCTCCGCAGATTTGAGGAAACTGTTTAGAGCCTCTTGCGACACATGCACTTCACCTTTGTACATAAATTCGAGCAGTGCGGCCATATTGTCGGAGGACGTAGCCTCCAATATGACAACGCATTGTCCATTTGTGGGTGTGCTTTCGAACAGTTCGGCGAATTTYTTCGAACAGGCGGCCAATATTAATTTATGTGCTTTGAATACTCGACCTGAAATTCGAATTAAAAAGAGAAATTATTTGGGGGTAATGCTTTAGGAAATGAATATTTCAATGATCTATAGCATATAATGTTAAAGAAAATATTGGGGCGTTCGCTTCCGTTCCGGAAATTTCGAATTGGATTGGATTCGATGCAAAATGGCAAAAAATGGTCGACCGAAATATTTGTTCATTTTTTGTTATTGTAAATTAAAAAAAACATTAAGTTTGATTGGAAATACGAAAAGACTTTTTCGACTCCCCAATATATAATAAAGTTTTCTGGATTTTCGACGCTCTTCACACTTAAATAARAAATAAGTTTTCAAAAGGAAAAGCTTAAGGTGCAGCTAAGTTTTGCTTCTCTCAATCATAAGTAGGCCTTTCGCGCTCTCTTTCTCCTTCTTCGATCCTCTTCTCTTCAACTTTATTACYTTTAAATATATAAACCTAACTCTCTTTTAAAGTCTACCTTTAGGCGCTTAACGTAATTTTACATTATTCTTATTGATTTACATAAGAAAGGTTCACGAYTTTTGGATTGCTCTCAATTCATTGCCAACTTGTTGATATTTAAATATAAATATATATACATATGTATTTATTATTGTCTATATGTACACATATATTCATATAGATAGTAAAATTTCGTAGCATACTTTTCGGGTTCATCTACATATATTTGGCATTCAATAGAGCTGCCGTCAAATGTGGAAGATCATAACAACTGTATATGTGTATGTACATGCTTATGTAACGATTTATGACTAAAATATTATACATACGTACATACATACCTATACAGATACATTATATACATACACTTCTATTCAATGAAAATTCGACCGAACTTCACGCCAACCGCGACCTCATTTAATGTCGTTTACAGTTCCAATGTACTTATGSGCATAAATATGTAGCAATTGAAAGAAAAAGGCGGTAAGCGGGCAACCAACCCGACACAGCGCTGAACTAAAGACCTTGAACCCATAAAATCGAGACAAATACCGACAGTTCGATGCAAGTACATATGTACAAGCACTTCTAAAATATAAATTTTTATGTGTGCATACAATACATACATACATGTTTCAAAATGTGTATATAATTATACGCATATATCCATTTACAAATGTAAGTATATACTTATGTATATATGAAATAAAGTGGGCGTTAAATTATAAGGTAGGTTAAAATAGATACACACATATACCGCAAATGCTTTCCTTGGTCATGAAAAAGTCAAAAGTAATGTAAAAGTGGGATCAAATAAAGAAAGCTGTAGCTTTCACAAAAAGGCAACCAGAAGTTAATAGCGATACTTGGCAGTGGGTGGCCGCTGATAATGCTGACAGCGATAAGCTAGACGATTTTCTACACACAAGAAGCAATAGAAGTAGACAAAAAAGTGATAACATTGAAACAGTAGCAGCTGCGACCAAGACAACAACGGCAGGTACTCGCCGTTTACCGACAAGATGTTGCTAGATACATATATACACATGTATATRAAAGTATTTGTAAAGAAAATTGCAAGTACTGACGCAAATGTAGCTTCACATACATACATATATTCTGTTGTGTATATAAGCAAGAAGGGCTTACAACTGTAGATAGTGCTACTATGGAGATGTTAGTAAGACATTGAGAAGAAATAGTGGGTTTAATGTGGGTAAACAAACCATAGATTGATATATATGTATATATAACTGTATATTGTATATTGTATAGTATAAGATGAAGGTACATAGCATAGTAAAACAAGTTAACTTTATGTTTTTATAAGATAAAAGAGTGTGAAAGTATCTTTATCTTGATTTTAATCGTTCAGTTTGTATGACAACTATAGGCTATAGTAGTGCGATCTGAATAATTTCTTCGGATATTGTACCGTTGCTTTGGGTAACAAATTACTCTAGAATTTCGTGAAGATAGCCCGTCAAATGAAAAAGATTTCTATATAAAAACTGGATTTTGACCGATTAGTTTGTATGACAGCTATACGCTATGRTAGTGCTATCTGCAYAAATTTTACAGAGATTGTAGTGTTAACTCAGRTAATAACTTGACCCAAATTTCATRAAGATATCTCGTGAAATGAAAAAKTTTTCTTTACAAGGACACATATTTGGTCGTTCAGTTTGTATAACAGCTAAATGCTATAGCAGTCCGATTTAAACAATTTCCTGRAAGATTGCATTATTTTCTTAGAAAATAATCTGTGCCGAATTTCGTGAAGATATCTCGTCAAATGAAAAAGTTTCCCTTACAAGATATTGATTTCGATTGTTCAGTTTGTTTGGCAGCTATATGYTATAGCAGTCCGATATCGGCCGTTCCGAAAAATGAGCAGCTTCTTTGATAAAAAAGGACATGTGCAAAATTTCAGGTCGACATCTCAAAAATTGAGAGACTTGTTTGCGTATTTAAAGACACACCAAGAGACCGACCGCACAACAAATATTGTAAATTTCTTAGCATAGAACACATCTGAGTTAAGACAGGTTGTTGACAGCTCCAACATGATATAACTCATAAGAAAATCGCTAAAAAAAATACATATATATTTCCTTCTTTGCTTTTATTTACTTTTTTCGTAAAATTCCACACTGATGCCTTACTTTTGCCACGCACTGTAATAATTTCACATCTACACATGCACTATGACACATTATTTATCTGAACTTGATTTCTTTATGGGACACTTGTTGGCCAATGTGTCATCAGATAAATGAAGAAAGACAGCACAGTGGAGAGTGAAAAGTGGAGGTTAGAACACTAATCCCCTGCCCAACGACCGCGCTACGTGGCATTGCTATAGCTGTTYTTGAGCATTACATGGCAAAACTTCTTACTTAAGCGCAAAGATATAGACGTTGACGTTGATGTTGGTGACAACAACCGCAACTAGGCGGAAAAGAAGGGGGTGCGGAAAAGAAGGGGGTGCGGAAAAGGCGGGAGAAAGAAAAGTATGTACACAGTACACTAAATGGAGGCAGTGCCAGACACGAAATGGCAAAAGTTATGCTTTCTTAAGGTGAGGGCGTATGCTGGTGTGTTTTAAGGGTGCATACATATACATACTCATTTACATTTACGAGTATGTATACTACAAAAATAACCAGCAATTTGTCTTCCTTGCTTTGCTTTTCAATTTTCTGTTACACTCTTTTGGGAAAATCTTCAAGATTGAGCAGCTGTATAAATTTTCCTTCGCCACCTTGTGGTGAGTTAAGGGTGTGGGTGGGGGGGGCTGGTGAAAATGAATGTGACATGTTACATTTCGTGTTTCCTGAGACTGCTGCAATATTTATTATGGCAGTGTTGCCATGTTTACATACATATGTATGCATATACAATGTTTGTATATCTATTTATAATAACAACAAGTATCTTAGGTACATATGTATGTAAATACCCACTTATTTTTAACGGTATATACATTATTATATACATGTTTACATGTATACATATACACATATGTATGTATTTACAACTTAACGTAAAAGTAATGTTTATTGAATAAGGTGAAATAATTGGGAAAAAACATATATTTATCTTATTTTTATTTTTGCCTAATTTCATGAAGATATCTTGTCAAATAAATAGATTTCCGTACAAAAATTTGATTTGGATGGTTCAGTTTGTATGACCGCTATATGATATAGTGGTCAGAACTGAACATTTTATTGGAAGATTGTAACTTATCTTATCTTAGGCAATAACGTGTGCCAAATTCCATAAATATATCTTATTAAATAAAAAAAGTTTTCCATACAAAGACTTGATAATGATCTATCAGTTTGTAAGGCAGCTATATGCTACAGTAATCCGATATCYCCGATTCTAACAAATGAGCCGCTTCTTAGTGAGAAAAGAACGTGTGCAAAATTTATGTTCGATATCTCAGAAACTGAAGGACTATTTCACGTATACCTTATTCAAGGTGTAATAATTTATAAAAATAAAAGTAAAATATCAAAAATAAAAATATWTAGAAATAAAAATAATTTAGACTATAATCTATAAATTTGGTGTACACAAAATAGTAACAAAAATCTTGACCAAAAAATCATTTTATGAGCAGATATACATACATACATACATATGTAAATGTATAATATGTGCATATAAAATATTTATGTTGATCTACACTGGAAGATCTTTCTAAAAATATCATATGCACTATGTATATAGAATTATCTACACATCAAGTTGTATTCGAAAACGCTTGCATAACATTTGCGGTTTTTAAATGCGCACTTCCGTGTTAGCTCTGTATTCTCCTCATTCGCATTATACGAGTATGTACATATGTATAGATACTATGCACATCTGTATATATTTTTGGCTAGTACACTAATAAACACATACATTATTAATAGTTATGTATTTGTGTGCTCTTCTGTATCATCTTGATTAAATTTTTATGTTGATATAATAATTTTATAGTTTCGCAATTGTTGTTGGTGGGCATGCACGCCATTTTACTTGCTTAATAATAAATAAAAAGTTTTATTTATTTTTATACTATTCAGAAAAAAAATTGCATATGGTACAGGGGTAAAAAGTGGGGAGGTATGACTTTAAAAATTTTGTAAAATGAGTAGTATTTTCTTCATGTATATTGCTCAAAAATTACAATTTTTTACAGTAAAATTTTGAAACAACTGAAAATATTTCACACGCTTTCAATGCAAATAAACGTGTGAATCTCTTATTAGCACCACACTATTAGTAAATATTTAAATTTTTACTAGTTTTATAATATACAATTTATTTAGCAAGCTATTTTCCAATTTAGCAGCAAAAACAAAAAAATAAATCTTACAAAAATTTGCACTTCAAACCCGCTGCTTATTTYATTCGCATGATTAAATTTTTCTTCAATTCCCCCGGTTCTCGTTTTGGTTCTAATATTATATTTTTTTATTTTCCGCATTTCGCGGTATTTCTATGTTTTGGCAATTTATAGCCTTAGCATATTAAATGCAACAATAATAAGTGGGT